TGTGCATCATTTCCTGTTTGTATCTCACCTACCTTCTATTTTCTCACTTCCTCCTCCCCATGTTCTATAGTACCATGACATGTATCTCCTGATATGTTCATTCTTCGGAAGCAAATTACAGGTAGGGTGTTAGTTCTACAAACCTATCACAGTACATCTCGTAGATGCAAAAGGCCTTGCAACATTGGAGAGCAAACATGATAAAAATGTTGATAATCATTTCGTAACTAACAACCAGACAAGTCTCCAATAGGCAGAAGTGCTAAAAATAACAGAGCTCTCAATGCAGCAACTCGCGGAAAACAAAGGGTATCGTGTGCTCTGGGAATAAGGAAAGCCATGACTGAAAAGACTGAACAGACTCCTCTTGCTGAAGGTCTGAGGCTTCTGCTGTTGTGGCCGTCTGAACTGAAGCCGTGGTATACTGTGGGGAATAATGGACAGGGGCGTTTGTGTGGTAGGTAGGCGGGCGGGTTATGGCTGTGCTTGGTGGTGAGGTTGAAGCTGACAGTGATGATGGTGCGGGATTTGAGGGTGCGGATTGATCAATGCTGTGTGTTGAGACTGGGAGGAAACTTCGAGACGTCGGTACAGACGAGGTAGGCGTCAAGACTGATGATGGCACCGTCACAGTCAACGAAGGCGTAGGAGTTGTCGTGCAACCAACAGTCTTGGGTCCATAAAACGACGCTTCCCAGTGTCCGATCTCAAGCTTGGCCTCAAACGAAATCCTCTGTTCGCACAGACATCCAGTCAGCACACCCACGTCAACTCCCACCCCGCCATGGAAAAGGAAAAGAAAAGAAAACACTCAAAACTTAGACATGCATGCCCGCACGCCCAGTATGAGTAGTCCGTGCCTTTCGCGCCTTCCAAAACAACACAGCCCCGACAATCGCTGTGATGAACCAAAGCACAACATTCGTAAGAAGCACCCAGACGCCATTCTTCATGCGTTGAATGCCCTTGTTTCCCTCTGGATCCTCTCCAATGAACATTTTGCCGAAGATGCCAAACGCGACAAGGTAGCACAGGAACAACACGGCGTCCACGACGAAGAAGAACCACGCCTTGAAGAACGGGAGCATGAAGACGAGCGAGGCTACGGCACCGAGCGAACCGCAGACGACCGCCCAGACCCACTTGCTATCAACGTACTTATCGGCCTTGCGTGCGCGGTCCAGGTCGACGGCGTACATGCCGATGACGGTGAGGGCCATGACGAATTGGAAGAGGCGAAGGACAAGGCGCGCGATTGTCGTTGCGGAGAGCGAGGCGCGGAGCGAGGTACCGAGGGTAGCTTTTTCGCCTCGCAGGGTGCTAGACGGGAGGAATTTAAGACCCATGGCTAGGAGCATGTCAGCGTTTGATTTTTCCGAAGATGATGGCGGACGTTCAAGACTTACCTTTTTGAAATCTTGGGGGGTTGAGTTGAGCGGGGTTGAGGTGAAGTTATTCTGGTGAAATCCTAGTAAGGAAAGGCCGATGTGTATGGATACGTGTGTGAATGTGGAGAAGAACGTAGAATCGTCGGGTAAAAAAACTAGGAATAAGTATGTAATCGAAAAGACTTCTTCCTTCACACACACACACACACACACAATGTTGGTATTGTGAACGATGATCGACGTGTTTATTGTTCTTGTTTTTCTCGAACAATGCCCTTGTTTCTGCGCAGGAACAACAAGTGGGGTTTTTCTGCGAGCCGTGCGTGAATGGATAAGAGGGCCTTAGGGTCTTAACAGTGTTTTGTCCACTTCCTTCCTCAGGGGACTTATGACGTCGGCTTAGGGTGAGATGTGGCTTCCAGACCCTGCCAAGGTGCGTAAATTGTGCACTGTGCACGGGGTTTATGACGGTTCTGTGTAGGGATCGGCGGTTGCAGAGGGTTGGATGCAGATAAGGTTGGGGAAGACGGTGCGACTATCGAAGCCGGCGAAGTTTGTAGAAGGGAAGAGAAGAGAACAGGGGGGATTACTGCACGCTGCGATGCTGGCTCTATGCGATATTTATTTTCACGTCTCTTACTATTACTGTCATACTGTCACGTCTTCAACGGTGAACACGTCCTGGGGTTCGTTGGCGCTCGTCGCAGGTCGGGTTGTACGGTAGATGTGTGCCATGTGGTAAAAGTGGCAGGGATCCTGTTTGCCGGCGCTTCGCTGACGTCGTTGGCGCCCGGTTAGCGCGCATCCAATTCAGTGTCACACCTGAGTGTGATTGGATGATAACTCTCGAGGGAAGTCACAGTGTGAAACTTGGGTAAAGATGTTCATGAAAGATTTTCTTGGTTACATTGCATTGTATGTACCCTGTGCTTTTGTTCTCGGAGTCACATCTGGCGTTATTTCCAACTCACCCACATTACGCCTCTACGGGCTCGAGTACTTGTAACCATACTGCTCCTTGGCCTCCTTGATCTGCTCCATCAGCTTATGCTCCTTTTCGGCAAATTCCTTGTCCTCCTTGAGCTTCTGCAGGTACGAATCGTTGCCAAATCCACTCTTGCTCGGCACTTCCAGGCCCCTCTGAACTGCGGGCCGAGCAAGTATCCTCTCCCACCACTTCTCTAGATTGGGAAAAGAGGACAAGTCCACGCCCGAGAAGCGCAGCATGTGGATCCAACCAAAGCTTGCAATGTCGGCGATACTGAACTTGTTACCGACGAGGTAGTCGGTGTTGGCAAGGTGCGAGTCTAGGATGCCGACTAGGCGCTCAGTCTCGCCCGTGTACCTCTGCATTCCATAGTAGATGCGTTCCTTGGCGAAACGGTTGAAATGGTTGGCTTGACCTTGCATCGGACCCAGCCCACCGTGCTGCCAAGCCATCCATTGCTCAGCTCGCGAGACATCCAATGGGTCTGCGAAACTGAACTTGTGTTCAGGATCATAGTGGCGCGTCAAATAAGTAAGAATGGCTAGCAAAGCTCGTCAGCATCCTCTACCCCATCATACACGTTGACCGTTTACTCACCAAGACCCTCTTGCACAGCAAAGCCACCTTGGTCGTGGTCCACGATGACTGGAATTCGACCATTGGGACCGAGCTTGGTGAACCAAGCTTCTTTTTGTGTGTTTTTGCTGATGTTGATACCCTGCCATGTGTAATCCTTGCCGTAAGCGTCTTTCAGTTCCTCCAGCAGGATGCTAGCCTTCCAGCCATTGGGCGTGCCCCACGTGAGCAGCTCAATACCCTTGTTTGCCTTGAGTCCCGTTGGCTGGTCGTCTGCCATTTCAGGAATTATTTGTCGTAGTAGTGGTGAGGTGTGAAAGTGCAATCTTGGTGCGAATGCTGGTTGGCGTGCTTGAACAGAGGTGCGCAAGCAATGTCTTAGTTGTGGAGATGCGAGAGGGCGTAATAGTGACATGGAAAAGGCGAGTTGACGTATGAACGAGGGGTTATATGCGCACGCATGCGTATGCAGAGCTTCTTCGTCCGACAGAAATATGTGGATTGCTTAGGAATCCATGACGTCGCCTCCCCGCTTTGCCTTCCAAATGAGACTTCAATGGCGTATTGGAAATCATATGCCTGACTGACTAACCAATCCTGCGCTTCTATGTCTGAATGCGGGTTAAAGAACGCTGTTCTAAGTTTTGCATCACGTTCTTTCTTGTAAACGAAGAGGTAAGACAAAACAAGAAATGTTCCTCTTTGAAATCAGACATGTGTAAATGTTGATTACGAATGGTTGCACATCAAAAGTCCGCAGACGCGTGCATGATACGACTGAGACCCCATCCTAAGCTGATATCCAAACGCAACAGCTTGTGCGTTGCCTACGATTCCTCAGCGCCCTGGCGTCTGCTACTCCACTGAAGGTTACCGCTGGTCCGAGCAGTAATGTCGCCGAAGCTCTGGGGTAACTTCCGGCATTTCTGAGTCTTCTTGCTCCACGTCTTCAAGGTCCAGCACCCGATAAGTCTCATGTTATCCTGTTGCTCGTTCCTATCCGAATTTCGCTATTGCTATCGTTTCCTGTGACGACTTTAGCAAAGGCTTCATGTGACTATGCCAGTCCAAGACCATGTCCTCTTATCCTCACCTGCGTCGACTCCTGTCTCCGCTAGCCTGTTGTGCTGCCTGCTGAGCCGCCTCATGCCCCAGCTCACCGCGTAATGATTTGAGCTTAGCCTCAACCTCCTCCTTCTTCTTAGCCTCCTTTTCCAACTGCTTCTCCACCTCTTCCATCTTGGCCTTGAAGAAGTCTTGCAACGCCTGTTCCTGTTCTTGACTAAAGGGAACTTCGTCTGCACCCTTCTCTGGCAACTGTGCACTCCTTTCCCCGTTGGGCAAGCCACGCTTGAGCCTTCCGTTTGCGCCGAGAGAGGCCTTCTTAGAGCCACCCTTGCCAGCCGGAATGAGGTAGTTCCATTGGTCTTCCGAGGTGAGAGCATCGAAAAGCGCTTCGGTAGGTTCGTTGAACTGCACGACCTCAAGAAATTCAGAACGTACGCAGCCCGTCCGTTCCTGCTCTGCCTGCATCTTCTCGTCGCCGTACTTTTCCAGTTGGAGGAAGTGTTGCCTATACTGTGCCTTCTCTCCTGATATTGGCTGGAAGTGCAACCTTATATCGATATTGAAACCTCCCCATCCAGTCTCGGTGACCTCAAAGGGCGGCTTTTCGACCATACGCAGCGGGTTCTCGTACGTGTTGAAGATTTTGAACGAGACCTTGTTGAGCCATGCTCTAATATCCGGATCGCCATCAGGTACGCGTACATAGACGGTCCAGCGTTTGGTGTGGTCATCGGGAACGTTTTTTGGTCGGTCGGGGTGGCCTACTGGCGGTAGTTGCCATGCTTCTGAGCCGATTACTAGGCAGGTGGTGAGTGGACGTTCAGATGCGCATGCAGCTGTGTGTCTTACTGAGGTTTCGACTTATGCGCTTGTTCTGCACGGCGTCAGTTCACGTGCGCGAGAAGCTGTGTAGGCGACTTGCCTTGACGCGCTTGTTCGAGGCGGGCGCGGGCATATTGCAAACTAACTGCGCGAGGAGGAGATATAGACTAATATCTCGATTCTGGGCAACTATTGTGTGCGCGACTAGGTGCAGATAGCAGAAGGTGTGTAGTGTTGTAGTCTATCGTGATGTGTGAGCTACCTAAAGGAAGTCGCGCCGCGGCATGTTTGCTAGAAAGATCCCCAGTAAACTCAGCCTTATGCACGAGCCAGCGAACCATTCGTCACGACCCTCACTGGCAACATCATAGCGAATGCAGTGTACACACTTTGGTATAGATTATTGCGCATCACGAAACGATGCAGCATGCTCACTTGCTACCCTCCTTTCCATCTTTCGCCCTTGTGTTGTACAGATTGTCCTGTTTGCAAGCATCCCCTTTTCCTTCAATCCTATCGAGCGAATCCTCAATCAACCCGACATGGCCGCGCAATGTTCCCTCAATCTCGTCCAGTCGCGCCTCTTGCTCCTCCTCCATGTGTTCCAATTTCTTTTCAAATCGGGAGCCTGCATGACAAAGTTAGGCGTCACGTCCGGAAGTGCATCGACGGACACGAGCAGAGTGTTTTACCTAGATATGTTGCAAATCCAGCTACTACTGTAAGGTTTGTGCCGACGAGAACAAGGTCATTTTTGAATAGATTGCGGAAAGCCATCATGTGTTTGCAGTTGAGTTTGTGTTTAAGATGAAAGGAAGTTCATTACTTTGTTACATACTACGACTAGCAATTATTAAGTCATGACGACATGAGGCTTGTGACTATTCTATTACGTTCAAAAGAAACGCAGTGGCCTTAGCTTGGTGGCCGTAGAGACAGCTCAGGACCCGGAGGTCTTCAACCATTTCCGCGTACCCCTGCTCAGCCTTACGCGACGCAATCCCAGGTGTGGAGTGACATCAACACTCACAGCTTACAACATCAGCAAAAACACCAATTGTAAACGCAACACAACGCAGCACCAATGGCATCTGCTACAACTTCAGCGGCAAAGAAGAAGCTTGTTGTATGTGGTGGTAATGGATTCTTAGGTACATCTGCTACAAAAAATGACAACACATGAAAGCAAGCTGACATGTGATGTAGGAAGTCGGATATGCAAAGCAGCAGCACACAGGGGGTGGAATGTAACTTCGGTATCGTAAGCCTGCCCTAGTATCATCTCTCGAAATATCTTATAACAATTTTTCAGGCGCTCTGGCACACCTCACTGGTCTTCCGTCTCATCCTCGCAAACACCACCCGACTGGTCCGAAAAGGTCTCCTGGCAAAAGGGCGACATCCTCGACCCTAAATCGTACACGAAACATCTCGAAGGTGCAGATGCAGTGATACATACCATGGGCATACTGCTAGAGGCAGACTACAAAGGCGTCGTCAGTGGGCGGGAGAGCCCCATCAAGGGCCTACAGAGAGCTTTCAGCAAGACCAAGGCAGGCACGCAGAATCCATTGGAACTCAAGGAAGGAGAGGTGCTGAAGCCACAAGAAAGCGACGGTCAGCTAACGTACGAAATTATGAACCGAGATACGGGTGCGTCTACACTAAGCCCATGGCAGACTGGATGTGTGCATGACTAACCGTGCAGACAGCTGTTTCCCTTGCCTGCGAAGCGTCAACGCGAAAAGTACCAGCCTACCTCTACATCTCTGCCGCAGCAGGAACGCCTATTCTCCCTGCGCGCTACATTACAACGAAACGTGAAGCCGAGTCGATTATATCTACAACGTTCCCTACGATGCGGTCAATCTTCATTCGTGCGCCGTTCCTGTACGATAGCAGCAGGACGTTTACGCTTCCTATTGCAGCGGCTGGCGGTGTCGCGAGCATGATAAATAGCGCAGTTGGAGGCCGACTGACGTGGCTGATGGGTGCAGGCGGCATTAAGCCTCTGAAAGCAGACCTTGTGGGTGAGGCAGTTGTAGAAGCGCTCGAGGACGAGGATGTCAGGGGACCAGTTGAGGTACTGGAGATTGAAAGGCTGGGGACACGAGCATGGAGGAAGAATATGGTGTAAAACAGGGAAAGAACAACATGACTCAACCTATAAAGAGAAGCGAAGGTATGTTTGGAAAGGTAAATCCTCTCTCACTCATAAGTGTGTAAGAAAGCCACACTGAAACACGTGCAACTGAGTATGTAGCATCTCAACTGAACATATATGTATGCATCTAAAAGATATGGAGCAATTTCGCTTTCAACCAAGGGAAAGCTGTACATACAACGGAGCTGCAAGCTTACACTTACAGCCCGGAAACGCTCGACGTGCGAGAACACCAATTTACAAGCTGACTACCGCGACGCGGCAGTTCTAGCCCACGGGTGTTAGGCATTTCTTTCTCCCGCCTCTTTTCATGTCCCGAGGCAAGCACACAGGCGTACCTTTGCACAATGGCTGGCACCGAGGATCTCTAGCGTCACTCTCCTATGCGCTAAACACGTCCCAATATGATACGGATGCTCTTATTCACTTTCACTTCTTTCGACCGGTCTGACTAGTCAACTTCTTCTTCATGTGTTTCGGCATCTTCTCCTTGCGTTTCTCACGCTTCTCTTCCTTGATGGCCTTCTTATGTGCTACCTTCTCGTCATGGTCAATGTGCTTCTTTCCACGGCTTGGGCCTTTGTCAAATATGCTCTGGTCAACCTCAGAGGTATCTGAACTATCATCACCGGAATCGGCATCTGGATTCGAGGCATCAGACTCATTGTTGACAACCTTGTCGGCAAGAAGAGCTTGGTATGGGAGATCGGAGCCGCCACCGGCATTGACGAGTTCGGCATCACGTTCAATATCGTAGACTTGGTCGAGCGTCTGGGGGATGTACTGGTTGCGGAAAACATCGTCGTCTTCCTCTTCCTTCTTCTTCTGCTCCTCGGTTAGGGGTTCCTTGTTCAACAAAGTGCGAATCAGGTCTTGGATTTGTTGCTGCTCCTTCACATCCTTCGGCCCCATCGCACTTGTGATGAAAGCATAGGCCTTGCGCTCACTGAGAACCTCTACATTCCGAGAGCGGAAGAAGTCCGAGACATTCTTGACGTCCATGCGCAGGAACTCGAGGGAGCGGGGATGGTCGTGCTCAACGGCTTGCGACACATCTATGATCCATTGCTTTCCTTCGTGGTATAGAACGTTGTATTCGCTCAAGTCGGCGTGGACAAGACGGCATGTCTGATACATTATGCGCATGTATGCCAGCATCTCAAGGTACAAGTCTGTCCACTTGGCGTCCTCTTCCTCGGAGGTCAAGCCCTCGAAGCGCACGTCCTTGAGTCGCGGGGCAGCCTTGCCTTTTCGGTCACCTACAAAGCCCATGACAAGAACATGGTTGCGCAGTGCATGTGCCTGTGGCGAAGGAATGCCCGCGTCGTGTATCCTAGCCAAGTTTCTGCGCTCCTTGTCGGCCCACATGCGCACCATGGCACGGTTGTTGCTCTTGTTGTAGCCTTGTCTAAACCTAAACTCGCCTTCGACATACTTGGCGCGGTCTTTGAAGACAAGAATAGACGTCTTATAGACCTTGACAGCGCGGTGGATAGGGTCGGCGTCGGCGTCGGATGGCTCGGTCATGGCATGGTAAACGTTGGCCTCTTTGCCGGTTGAAATCACGCCATGAATTTCGGATATTACGCCGCGGTTGATAAGTTGGAGCAAAATCATCTGCGTTCTCCGGTCCAGTACCTGTTCGGTTGTGGCGCGATCTGCCTTGTCCTTGTCTCTTGCATTGCCTCCTGAGGCGCCCGTCATGCGCCCCGTGAGGCGAATCTTGCCAGCATGTCTTGCGAGAGAGGCTACCTGGTCGTCGATGGAGGCGCTGGTGTTGGCTGACGGCTTGTGCGGATGTGACGACTTTGGCTGGGATATCAATCCGGGCACTTTGTCATCTTCGTCATTGTCGTCGTGATCTTCGAACAGGTCGTCAATGTCATCGTCGTTAATTTCCGCCGCGGGGCGCTCCTTGTCCGCGGCGCCAGCATCTACAAGCGACTGCTGGGGCTTCTCCGGCTCGGTGGTGGAATCCATAGCTTTGTGGTCTGTGTAAGTCGAGATGAGTTGAGCGCACCGGAAAAACTGCGTCACATGGAAATCTTTCTATTCTTCCAGCGGCAGAATCGCGGGGTGGGCCGCGGGGCCAAAGGCGGTCAGGGCCTGCTGCAGCTGCGCATTAGCTAAGCAACCTGCCTCCCATTCACTCCAAGTTCCAACTATCACCGCCACCAGTCTCAAATCTTGCAAACGAACAAACGAACACATGCCGCCTTCCAAAACAACGATTCCGTGACTGATGGCTCCCTCGTGTCCTTGGCGATTATATCCCTTGGCGAACGTGATCCTTTGGCTGCCATGGCCCGAAGCAAATGAGATGGAATGCGTATCGCTGCGCCGCACGGCAAACAGGGGGTCCCAAGCCCGCGTCGGTCGGTCGGTCGCATTGTGCCAGAGTCCCATGGCATACACGCAAAGCCGCAGGCGCAGCCAAAGGGCGTAGTGCCTCGCAAAAAGAAACAATCGCCAGGGACAAGTTGTGTCTGATAGGTTACACGGAGTTGCCGCTATACTCGGCGAGGCGGCTGCCATTTCTGACACGCCCTAGTCTCCACTCGTCTCTTCTGAAACACATTAGGGGAGTCAGCGAGCTCGACCATGGACCACTCACATTTGCCCTGCATTCAAACTGGACCATGTATGCAAGGGGTCTACCAGCTCGCATGATTTTCACTCCGGGTGCTAATGCCCGGGCAGGGGGGCTGCGTCGTATACATACACTCTCCCGACTTCTAATAGTCGCGGCGTCTCTGATGCCTTGCGCGCTTCTGCATTCTTCATCCAACCTTCTTGCTGGTCCAGCTTGGCCCTGTTTCCTTTATTCAACACACTCTCTTTGAATCGACTTTTTGGACGCAGGACGACCTCGCTCATTACGCTTGTCTTGCAAACCCTCTTCGTCGATCATTTCCTTCACTCCACCGCATTTCACGCATTGTTGACATTGTGTACTTGCGCGACTATCACTGACATCATCTGTGAATCCCCTTTTCGTCCTGAACACCCCTTCTGTGAAGGTTATATTCTACCAGACCCGGACCTTTTTCTGCTCACACCGAGTATCCGAATTTCAAAAACACAACAAGATGCGCTTCTCAACTTACACTACCGCGAGTGCCTTGGCCGCTCTGGCCACAGCCCAAACTTTTACCGATTGCAACCCCATGGAAAAGACATGCCCAAATGACCCCGCCATGCCTCAAACTTGGGAAACCGACTTTACCACAGGAAGGGAGGCAGTCAAGGGATGGAAGCAGACCTTCGGCAACCTTACATATGGACCTGATGGAGCACAATTTACCATCACTAAGCCAGGGGAGGGACCCACCATTGGTTCAGCAGGTTACTTCCACTTTGGTTACGTCGAAGTCGTTATGAAGGCAGCGCCTGGTCAGGGCATCATCTCATCCATTGTTCTCCAATCCGACAACCTAGACGAAGTAGATTGGGAATGGATTGGTGGTGTTGACAGCCGTGTACAGCAAAATTATTTTGGCAAGGTATGTGCTCACAACAGGCTTTCTTTGTTTTTCCAAGGCTAACAAGAATGATAGGGAAACACTACCACTTTCGACCGTATGATCGAAGCCCCTGTAGCTAACAACCAAAACGACTTCCACAAGTACGCTCTCAACTGGACGGCCGAATCCCTTACTTGGATCGTTGACGACAAGCCTACGCGCACCTTGAAGTTTGCCGATGCTAACGGCGGAAAGAACTACCCGCAAACTCCTTGCAATGTCCGTCTCGGTAACTGGGCTGGTGGCGACTCCAAGGATGTAGGCACTGTCCAGTGGGCCGGTGGAAAGGTCAACTATGCGGCTGCGCCATTCACCATGACAGTTAAGAGTGTCAAAGTCATCAACTACTCTCCTGGCAAGGAATACACGTACTCGGATAAGACCGGTTCTTTCGGCTCCATCAAGGTCGTCGAGGCTGGCAACACCGCGGGTGCCGCTCAAAACAACGTCGCAATCGATGCCGCTGCTTCGGGTACTGGCTCGCAAGCTCCTTTGGCCTCGGGCATCAATGTACCTCCTCCTACTGGTGGTGCTGCTGGTAACTCTACTGGTGACGCCCCTTGTGACTGTGGCACCGCCACTGTCACCGTCACCGGGGCGCCTCCTGCGTCTTTTAGTACAAAGTTTCCAGCCTCGAGTGGCCCTGTCTCTACTGCCAAGGTTCCTGCCACTACCGCGAAGCCTTCCTCAACTCCCGGCGGCGCAGCGGCTCCATACCCAACCACTGGTATCGCAATGGACACCCGACCTGCGCCCGGCGTCAACATACCTCTACCAACTGGCGCACTACCTCAGCAATCTGGAAACCCCTCTATCTCCGTATCCGCTCCTCCCTCACAGTTCACTGGCGCAGCAAGCCACGTCAAGGCCAGCGGCCTTGTCGGCGCTGTTGTGGGAGCCGTCTTGCTCGCTTTCTAAATCATCTTCAGCATATGAGGTACGGTTCGGGATTACAGAGGAATTTTATTGCTGTACATACTTTGATCGGCACCTTCGCGTTTGATACGCCTTGTCATCACCCATTTTTTCCAAAGATACAAAACTAGATTTTTTTCCTTCGGCGCAATCAATCGCCTATATACATGAGCATTTTGAATGAATATATGACACAATCAAGTAAAATAAAGTTTTTTTATAACTACTAGTACAGTCTGTGGTACAACCAAATGTCTTCTTGTCGATGTTTCATGCGTTTCTGCATCATCGTCGTGACCGTGCTACCCTGTTTCCGCATTAGACTCGATAATTCACATTTACCATCATCGACGACACCTCCTCCTCTTCATCCACCGTCGCCTGATAAGCCCCACGCTCAGCTATCCTCCCCTATGTTCTCCCTCCAATCTGCCACCAGCTACTCTTCCTCCTCTCCCCCACAAACGCATCAGGCGCCAAAACCACTCTCCTTCCACCACACCCCATCCCCCACCCTCGACGCCGAATGTCGTGAACCAAAAAACGACCCAAATGACGGTGTCGGTGGCTCAATAGCCTTCCTACGTTTTCTCAACAACCCCACATCCTTGGTACCCAGCCCAACCATCTTCACCGTCTTCTTGAAGATCTTACACAACCTCCCCGTCTTCCGTCCCTGGCCCTGTAGCAGTGACCCCGCGCTGTGGTATCCGTACTCGCGCGCTATGGGACCATGTATGTGATTGGGTTGGAATAGGCGGCGGTGGGGTGGCTCATCAGTGCGCTTGCGGAGGTTGCGGCCCCATTCTGTGGGTCGGTTTTGTTCGATGGTGGAGCCGGATACGAAGTGGAGGTTGGGGGCGTAAGGGGCGTTGTTAGGGATGCCGTAGGTGGTGCTGAACGGGGTTGGGGTGGGCGGTTCGAGGAAGGAGAGGAGGGAGGGGGATGCAAGGGAGGATGGCGGTTTGAGTGAGGGAGGTGGGGAGGGTGAGGTGCTGTTTTTGAACCCCGAGGCGATGGGTTCGTAGATGGTTTGGGTTTGGAGCGGGTTGTGGGATTTGATAGTGTCGACATTGCCGTGGGGTGAGAGTGAGGGAGTGGGTGATGTCTTTTCGATCTTGATTGTGCTCTTGATCAGGTTTTCGAATTCCCGTAGGAGACCTGGTATCTCGGTCTCAGTAGAGGCGAGCGCCTCCCCCTCTTCTTCTTCTTCTTCTTCTTCTTCTTCTTCTTCTTCTTCTTCTTCTTCTTCTTCTTCTTCTTCTTCTTCTTCTTCTTCTTCTTCTTCTTCTTCTTCTTCTTCTTCTTCTTCGCTGTCGGCCGGTGTAGATTTAACACTATTGCGTCTTGTCCAGCCCGGACTCATATCTAATTCAGCATACGGGCTATCCTTTTCCGTTATAAATCTGTAATAATGCTCCGCGATCTGACTGGATACAATGATAGGAAACCCGGGTTTTGTGGTCACTGCAGAAACGGGTCCTCGTGGTTTTTCCATCATTTCTGGTGCTGGAGATGTGGGTTCCATCTTGATTTGGATTGAGGGGCTGCGACGTACAGGTGTGCATACGGTAGGTGAAGGGACCTGGCGTTTAGGTGTGTCGGATGCAGGCAACGACTCCTGGTGTGTAGGTGTGGAGGCAGTAGTTGACAATTTTTGCTGTCCGCCAAACCAAAAGCCCCCATCTACCACCAAAGGCCAGTTGGTCGGATGATCAGAAGGTTGGCTTGTGTCTAACTCATCAGAGCTCTCCACCTCAATCCTACTCATTATCAATAGATGTCTTCGCTTAACTTCCAGCATCTGGCTATTCCCATCTTCTTTAGGGGCGACACTCGAACTGGCTTCTTGGTTAACTTCAGGCGGTGCCTTTGGTGATGAGCTGGTTCCGCTCCATAAATTGGGATCTTGTTCTAGCAGTCGTGGTCTGCTAAAATTGGGGATGGAGGGCGAGCCGTTTGACCATAACGGGACTGGGCAAAAGGGAAGGGCCTGCGTAGCTGCAGGCTGTTGGCACAGAGGGGCTTTTTTTGCATGCATATCGATCGGGGCATGATTGAGCTCGATACGCTTGACCATCAATGCAACAGAAGGTGCCATTGTTTTACCGGAAAGCCGAAGGCTTCTCGAACTTTTAAGAGAAAAGAAAAGTGAACGAAGGTTCCCAGTGTATGCCGAATGGCAGTCGAATCTCGTCGAGTGTGTGTTTGAACGAGTGTGAAGTGGTGATCAGAAAGAAAACGAATAATCAAATCTGAACCTGCCGCATTTTCGAATTCTGCTAAGCATCGACTTTGTTGTGTGTGGGCGTGGGAATTTGGGACGTGGTGGAGACGGGCGCCCAGGACCCAATCAAACGCGATGTTCTTGATAATTTCGTAAAAACAAGTAATAAATTCACTTACAAGCAGTATAATTAGGGTCAAGGTTTTCTCTGATGACATTGATTTGGTCTAAAAGCCTTAGGGTTCCAAGATCCAACGTGAACAGGGGCTTTTTAGACCATGAAGTCAGCGACCTCAAAACCACCAAAGACCCTGAAGCGACTAATATAAAGCTATATGTGGTTAAAAAATAACCCAAGAAATTCGCTGCTACGACCGGTTGCTATGCAAAGTATTTGGCGCTTGGAGTTGATGTATCAGGCGGTGCCAGTGCCGAGATGATAACCAGATCAAATGTGGTCATTGGATAAGCCACTGGCACTGACAATGACTAGAAGTAGCGTCCTGATCCCTTTTTCGATAGTTCATCCGTGTCTTGGGTGGTGGTGTGTATGCTGCAGCCTCAGCTTGGGGATCGCTCAGACTCAGGTTTATAATTTGTGACTGCGAAGACAGAGTATCGTCGCGCTGAACCAACATCTTCTCACAAAAAGGTGTCTTTCCGTTCGGAAGGCGTTCCTCAACTAGCTTCAATAAATAGGGAATCAGTGGTAGCCGGGTCATAATCGTCGCATTAGCCGGGTTCGATTCAGTGTTTGAGGCATCAGTTTTCGTGGGCTTTTTAACGTAAATATAGCCTTTGATTGTTGTCTCTTTGAAGGTACACTGCCAAAGGCTTTTCCCAGGTAAGAAGCTGGTATGCTGTGGATCCGACCGTGCTTGTCCCTTCTCGACTTGAGTGAACTCGTCTTCTCTAAGCAACACGACTCTATCATACGTAGTGCGAAAGTAATAAGCGAAACCATTCTCGCTGGTGGTACTCTCAAGTTCTAGAATCTCAACAGGCGGTATGTCGGGCATTTGTTCACCAAAGTAGATAGCATTGATATTGGGCGGCGATGTCATCGCAACCATTGTCGCATTGTCGTCACCTACTGGCGCAGGGAGCACACTCAGTTGCAGTGTTGCGTTGGATGCACATGTCCATGCTATTGATTCGTTCATGCGTGCCAAACAAGCAGAGCTTTGCTTTTGCGGAACCTGAATGGGGAGCGCGAATATACCACGTCGAATTTCGCTAATGGCGCTTGAGTCAGGGGGTATATCACTGCCAACGTATGCCGTAGAAGCCTGATCACTACACAAGTTCAAGTCAACACAACTCTAGCTTCCTGATGTTCAAGGTATTACCTGTGTAAAGATCGACGCTTGACAGCCAAGAGACTGCACCCGATCGTGACCAGCAATATGAATTGCAGAGTTAGAAATGCCAATATACGCTGTCTGAGAGACATGCGATTCCATATACACGCGGGAAGATTGGGTAGAGGCTTTTCAAGAACAGCAATCTCCGCAGAAGTTGACACGAAAACCTCTTTCTCTTCTTGATCCGGACTCAGTATTGGGGCTGAGAGGACATGACTTCTCTCCAAAGGAACGACTTCGATGCCATCCTCGATACGTGAGATTAAACATGTCCCTGAGTTGATGCCCGAAGTGAGGGTAGATTGACTGCTCTCGTAGTTCGTGGGAAAGGTTGTGTATATGGAAGGAAGTGGCTGGATACTGCTGATGGATCGATGAGGCAGCCGCATGTATGCAACCCGGCAATTCGTTTGATTAGTTTGTGAAAAGCAACTAAATCTGCCCTATCTGGTCCGGCCGGATAGCAAGTGTTACAAAAATTGAATCACAGAAAATAGAACAAACGTAGACGAAGATAGCAAGTGTTACAAAAATTGAATCAGAGAAAATAGAACAAACGTAGACGAAGATAGCAACCAGTGCTTGTCCTGAAAATAGTCGGGACTGGAAGCATATAAGGCACTCAGGTACATGGTCACTACGATGAATCAAGCTGCAGATGGACACTAGGTCGGGGAAGGATATAGGAGGTGTATTCGGCATGTGGGTTGAGGAGTATTGGCTCTGCGCTCACTAGAATGGCTTGTAGAAGGACCGGGTCGTAGCCGCCCATAGCTAGCCGCATGTCGGTCGTCAAGTTGGCCATCACAACATGTGCTGTAGAATGGAGGATAAAGTAGTGCAGTGTTTGCATTCGGCAATGTGATCAATAGCCGCCGTCCAGACGTGACGTAGGTCGCGTTTAGGGCGACCCGCCATGCATGCTAGGAGGTCACAGCAGATACTAGTTAAAGACTTCGGGTGAATATGTGCCGTCACATGCAAGAAGCACCTGCACCTGCAAGAGCAGGCGCACCTGACGGCGACCAGGAGCCGAGAGACGGCTCGCACACGGTCTGGTCCATGTCAGGCGTCATGCGCTCGCAGAAACCATATGGCACATATAGGCATGATGCACCCCAGATGGTCAACTCGGTGTCGTCGGTGTCGTCGTCGACAGATTAGCGAGACAGTGCGAATCTCGGCGCATCATCCGCGTCCCAGCTCAACCACGAAAAAAGTTGCCCCGCTGGTACCGTTGACCACGCCGTCTCTTCGCGACCAAAATCGTCGCCAGCCTTCGCCATGAGCTGGCTTACCTACCTCGCCGCTATACCGCCAGTGCTCATAATAGCGATGCGACTGCTCTCGCTCATACTGCCCGCGGGGCCTGCGCAGCTCGTCTCTTACTACGCCTTCGCCCTGAGCTCCTTCATACTGATGGGCATCTGTGCTCTATATGGTACCCTTGTGGCAATTCCATTGCGCATTGTGGGATACGGGGGCCTCATTCAATGGACTGTCGCGAGGGCGTTCAAGTGGTGCATGTGGTATGGCACCGGTGTGACATTCCGCGTCACGGGAAGCATGAAGAAAGAAGGTGGATTTAGCGGAGAAGATGCGCTCAAGGACCGCCCCGCCGTGTTTGTGGGAAATCATCAGACGTGAGTTTTTACGGCCCCTTTTCCGGGGCGAAGTGCTGACAGTGCTTGAAGCGAACTTGACGTGCTCATGCTTGGCTGCATGTTCCCCAAGTACACGTCCGTCACGGCCAAAAAGTCGCTGAAATATGTGCCCTTGTTGGGTTGGTTCATGGCCCTCTCCAAGACCGTATTCATAGACCGCGCAAACCGCACAACCTCCCGCGCCGCCTTCGACACGGCCGCCCATACCATGAAGACTACACGCCAGAATGTCTTCATCTTTCCCGAAGGCACCCGTTCCTATGCCGCGAAGCCCGATCTTCTCCCTTTCAAAAAGGGCGCATTCCATCTCGCCGTACAAGCACAGGTCCCCATTGTGCCTGTTGTATGTGGTAACTACTACCATGTACTGGACGTCAAGGGCAAGAGATTCACCCCGGGCGTCGTCGATGTGACCGTCCTGCCGCCCATCCAGACAAAGGGCCTGGGGGCTGAGCACGTGGACGCTCTGGTCAAGAAGACGAGAGATGCTATGATGGACGAGTTGATCCGTCTGAGCCACGTTTCGGGCACAGGCAGCAATGAACCCCTGCCGCGAGCTACTGGTGTTGATGGACAGGAACGTGGTGAGCTTAGGAAAAGGAATTAAAATACTGCATATGTCTTGTTTGCGCACCCATTGAGGGGCGGGACAGAGCATCCGGCGCAAATGGCGTTAAAGGCTGCTTGACATGCACCCGTATTGATATCCTAAGGATGGCGGGCTTGCTGTTGTTTGACCCTGATGCATATACTCACATCACATAGGATTCTACTATTTTTTAGAACACGGAAAGTAGCTCAATATGTCTACGGATATGTTGACTAGGAGGAAGAGAAAAGAAGATATTTTAAGCCAAGCACACTTTTCAATTGAAATCCTGTTGGTTATGAATGCCTCATGGCCATGTTAGCATTGGCATGCTTGGGCTGCTCGAACACTTCGTATTTTCGTCTATTTAGTATCGTGCAGCTTTGGTCCGTTCCGACTGTACACCTTTTCCTCTGTGCCTACTTCGTCTGAGTTTGCGGGTAAGCTCGAAAATGGCAGCTCTTTAGCCGCGGCTGCTCAGTTCTCATCGCCTGCAACTTTCTACCTGAGGTGTCCCGGCGGCAAGTGTACCGGTACGGCCAAGGTTAATGGCAGTCAAAAGGCAAGTCTAGACGACGAGGCTGAAAACCCTGATTACTCGTCCTCCGAGTCTCCGGCTCAATTTGAGAAGAAGAGACCACATCATGCAAAAAGAGGGTTTTCGTCTCTTCCAACAAGATAATCTTCATGTGCATCCTGTCGAGAGGGAAATTTTGATTGGTGCAATTTGATTTAGGCGGCTCCGTTTGATTGTACTCAACAGACGTTGGTACCTAGAAGCACCCAGGGCCGAGTGGCGCACGGCATGTACTTAGTTTGAAGTTTGTTAGTAGTATAGAGCGGTGTATGCGTGGGGGTTATCCAGGTACAAGTATGTTCCTAGTATGAGATATCTGATCACGTGGCAGGAACTCCACCGAACATTCGATTAGCAACATGTGAGAACACATGCGGGCTGCAGTTGTCCGGTGGTGCCACAGAACATGGCACAATTGGCCTGGTGACGACAGACGATGAATCAGCTCGCAGGCCCGGGCGACTGTGCTCCGAATTGTCCACGCTTTTCTACGCAGTGGTGTGAGGTATAAAGGGCACGTGATGTTCGAGAGGCGGCGTATTGCTTAAGAATTGCATCAAAGTCAGCCAATTGTTAGTAATCTGCAGTCAGAATTTCTGATAGCGCCCACTGGCTATAACCGGACATTTTCCATGTCGACTATGCCTCATTAGGGCTCGCCGTCTTCTCCCGCGGGATTGCCACCGGTGACGCTGTCGCCTTTTTTTCCATGGAGGGGCTCGGAATAGAGGGGCGACGCTACGTATGAAAGTGGACCACCGACGCAACCTGCAAAGAGCTCCCAACAGACCATCTTTCTGCGCAAACTTTCAACACGCTACAACCTTTGCTACAACTCCAGACACTATATACACATAAACACATCTCGACACAATGCCCAACTCTCTCGACCAGCTCAAGGCCTCTGGCACCGTGCGTAACCCCCATTAGCACCCTCAGCGCAAGAATTGTATCTGACAGAGTCCTCCCAGACCGTCGTCGCCGACTCCGGTGACTTTGCGACCATCAAGAAGTACCAACCCCAGGATGCGACGACCAACCCATCCCTCATCCTCGCCGCGTCTAAGAAGCCCGAATACGAGAAGCTGATCGATGCGGCCGTTGAGTACGGCAAGAAGCACGGCACCGACCTCGAGAACCAGGTCGATGCTACTCTTGACAACCTGCTGGTACAGTTTGGCAAGGAAATCCTGCAGATTGTGCCCGGCAAGGTCTCAACAGAAGTCGATGCGCGCTTCTCCTTCTCCACTGAGGAGTCCGTAGCCAAGGCCCTGCACATCATTGATGTACGTCTGCACAAGAATATAGCATGAAATACGGTCATGCTAACTATCGTCAGCTCTACAAGGAGGTCGGCATTGACAAGGAGCGCGTCCTCATCAAGTTGGCATCCACATGGGAGGGCATCAAGGCCGCCGAGATCCTCCAGTCCAAGCACGGCGTCAACTGCAACCTCACACTCATGTTCTCTCAAGTACAGGCCATTGCTGCTGCTGAGGCTGGTGCCTTCCTCATCTCCCCCTTCGTTGGCCGTATCCTCGACTGGTACAAGGCCTCAACCAAGAAGGAGTACAAGAAGGAGGAGGACCCTGGTGTCAAGAGCGTCCAGCAAATCTTCAACTACTACAAGAAGCACGGCTACAAGACCATCGTCATGGGCGCTTCCTTCCGCAGCGTCGGTGAGGTCACCGAGCTTGCTGGTTGCGATTACCTGACCATCGCCGTAAGCCGCCTTTTGTATTCGATTCACTGAATCCCTGCTAACCGTAACAGCCTAACCTGCTCGAGGAGCTTTACAACTCGCAAGAGGAGGTCCCCAAGAAGCTCATCGCCGAGGACGCCGCCAAGCTCGAGATTGAGAAGAAGAGCTACATTAACAACGAGGCCGAGTTCCGATTCTACTTCAACGAGGACCAGATGGCCGTTGAGAAGCTCCGTGAGGGTATCTCCAAATTCGCGGCCGATGCCGTCACCCTCAAGGACATCCTGCGCAAGAAGATCCAGGCATAAAGTGCAGAACTTGATTCCACGGTGAATGGACGAAATGATTCATAATTTCAACTTAGCAGGACTTGATAGGTCGGCTAGTACATAATAGTATACCCGACACGCCTAAATTGACAAACGTAAAACGTGAACTACTTTTCCCCTTTCAGTGTCATGAATGTGTCAAGTCGTTGCATGAGATGAGGGGCCGTAGATTTATCATTCGGCGGCTCTAGGCCGGCGTTAGTAACCGGTCAACAGCGAGCTGTTGTGGGTCTGGCGTGTTGCGTCACCAAGTGTAGCCCCGCATTGAAAGCTCACCTCAGGGAAGCTACATCTTCTTCCCTCGCCCATCCGTCACATCCAAAGACCAAACGCAATTAAACTCATCAGAGATTTATCAGAACTCATCACACATCTGTCAAAATGGTCAAAGCCGGTATGTCTACACACGATGCTTGCACAAGCTTTCCCATGTACGGTAAAGCGGGGTCATCCGAGTGAGATTGAGCAGATTGTTTGAATGAACAACACCTATTATGGCGTACCAAACGCCGTAAACAGGGTCAATTGGACAGATGCGTTCGCTTTAGGCTCCAGTCATTGCTCTAGTGACGGGCCTCAAGCTTTGTTCCTGGCTGTTGGCGTCGTCGCTCTCCAATCAGCTCTTCTCACGCGAGACACCTTGATGGCTCCCACATCCGCTTGCGCGTTACCTTCAGCCCTACAGCCACTTCTGACAGGGTAGAGTGGAGAGCGTATATCACCGAGACCATACTAGAGAAGCCGTGCTAACGCAAACAAACAGTCGCTGTCCTCCGTGGTGACTCCAACGTCAAGGGTACCGTCACTTTTGAGCAAGCCGACGAGAACTCACAAACCACCATCTCATGGAACATAACCGGCAACGACGCCAACGCTGAGCGTGGTATGCACGTTCACGCCTTTGGTGACAACACCAACGGCTGCACATCTGCCGGTCCTCACTGTGAGTACTTGCCTACTCCTGGCTACGCTAGCGTATGCATACTGAGTCGGTGACAGTCAACCCCCACGGCAAGGATCACGGAGCTCCAGAAGACGAAGAGCGCCATGTTGGTGACTTGGGCAACTTCAAGACCGACGGTCAGGGCAATGCTCAGGGAAGCGTTACAGACAAGCTGATCAAGTTGATCGGGCCCGACAGCGTCATCGGCGTAAGCATCCCCCTTCTCCTTTTCTCCTAACACTTCACGCTAACTCATTTTCAGCGTACCGTTGTCGTCCATGCCGGTACCGACGATCTCGGCAAGGGTGGCCACGCGGAGTCCAAGAAGACTGGCAACGCTGGCGGCCGCCCCGCCTGCGGTGTCATTGGTGTCTCAGCCTAGATACTTGACGACACGACAGAGCTGACCAGTCTGTCTACGCTCCACATAGAGGGAACGAAATAGCGGTTACAGGTTCAGCGATATGATGGAAGCTAAATATGTTCCAATGGTCTATAGTTGAATCCATCTCTGTCAATCAAATTAAACCGTAAAAAAATGCAAGTACCAAATTATTCACCATATTATTCTTATTTTTCTATGTAGACTAGTAATGCCCATGACCACAACCATCTGCCCATAGCTGTCACGTCCCACCCACGGAGACGATCGAATCTCGTTCTGGATGAGCAGCAGCGCACGTGCGAGGTTGCAGTAACATCGCACTCTACCACCGCATTATGTATTCCATGCCGGAAAGGCCTCAGCTGGGTCAAATCCGTCCAAACAAAGATCAAGCAGAGACGCGACCAAACTCCATGCCAATGCAAGTTGGGGGGTATCGATGCTTACAAGTTCTGTGCTCCCAAGCACAAATTTCGTATGTTGTTTTTGGTTACCGGGCGAGTGGCAATGCACAGACACGAGAGCGAATGGGAGAAAAAGGGGTGAAGGGTGGGAGGCAGGACATCGATAGATACTGCACCGGCCCAGCAGCTATGAAGAGTGAGGGCCGGGGGTAGGCGGAAAACAGAGGTGAACAAGGAGCACTGCTGTTGTAGTGGTGGTTGTTGTTGCTGCATGCTCAAGATCAAGGTCAGTACCTAGGTATATGATAGGGGCTTGTGCTAGTGACTACCATGTGGTATATAAACCCAGATCGTGGGTTGCCGCTATACGCACAAGCTACACCAGAACAATTCTTGTATATTTGTGGCTGTGGGTGCGGCGGCCATCACAAGTTGACGACACGTGTGTCATCGTTGAGGAACTGGCGTCTGTAGCGCGCAATCTCGGCGGCGATGCCGTTGGGATCTTTGATGTTCTTTTGGCGGAGCTCCTTGAGCACACCGCGAAGACCATCGTTCCACCTCTGCTTCTCCTCGGAAGTCTTGCCGGGATTTGCTGTTCCGAGCTGGACCAGCAGCTTGTCACCTACGCGCAACCTAGTCAGTCTGCGTACAGCAAAGGGGGGCAACACACAATCAAGTGAAAAAAAAGCTCCTTTCACAACGCACCAGTGATGGCAGCTTCCCTGAAGTGCTGATCGGGGCATTCAGGGTCGTTGCATGAGCCACCCGCCGATTCGTACTGACAGAATGGCTTCTCTGGGTCTATCTGATGACTGAAGGTCATGGACAGGAAGCCACCAGAAATGTCTTGTGCATAACTGGGATGATAGCGGTATGACTTGAACATTCGCAGTGGACTCTCGTACGGAGTGAATCTAACTGGTTCGTCCTCGTTAACAGCCACAGGCGTCTACTCAAAGTTAGCTAAGTTTGAAAAAGGGTGACATACGTACAGGTTCCACAGCAACAGCCGCCGACTTGTTCTCTGACTGTAGTTCGGGCGCTAGGTCATCAGCAATGTTAGTACCCTGGTGCGTCATGTTGTTTGCTTGAATAGAAGTCTCAGCTGCTGGCTCCTCAGTCGATTCTTCATCAGAGTCTGAATCTGAATCAGAGTCATCGAAGCTATCGTCAGACGAGGTAGCAATATCCATCGCACCGTCATCGGGTTCTGTCTGGTCTGCATGGGATGCATCGTTTGCCTCCTCGTTTCGAACGTCCGACATCTCTTGATCGATATCAGGTGGCTCATATGCTTCTTCTTCTTCTGTAGGGGTATGTGACGTAGGAATAGAGGACCTGATGGTCTGAGCATGTTGTGTGGGGATATCCGTAACGACTGCGTGTTCTTCAGGATCGTATTCCGGCTCGTAATCTTCATCATCTTCTTCGTCTTCGGAAACAGACATTTCGATCTCACCCTCTTCTTCAGAGGAAGTGGTAGTAGCAGTTTGGGCTGTCAGTGATCTTTGGGGACCGTCAGCCTTTCCCTGTACTTCTCCAATCCCAAGGTCCATTCCAGCTGGAGGTGCAGGACTAGAACTATCCTCACTCGCATTCTTTTCAGGCGCAGTGGCCAAGCTCTGTATACCGGGTATCGCAGTATCCATACGGGGTACTTGCCGTGCTTCTGATAGGCTTTGATATTGCACCGACTTGACGCTTGTCTCAGGGGCGGAGCCCACATCCAATGTCTTATTGACTGTTTGAGTTGAAAATCGAGATGCTGGTGCTGTTGGCTCCTGGGGCTGAGGCGCTTCGCTAGAAGCTGGCAGTGGGGTTGGATGGGGTTCTTGGAGTGGATGGTTGGGTTCCGAAGGTTGTTCACGCTCAATCTCATCTTTCTTAGCACGGAGTTCTGCATGGGACATTCCCTCAGTGTCGACACCCAGGCCCTCCAACTCTTTTGTCAACTGCGCTTTATCTTTTGCAATCCTCTCATTCTCTGCGGTCAGCTGCTCCATCTCCCTCATTAGTTGGGCCATTCGATTTGCATTGCTTGCAATCTCAGCATCCAGGGTGGGCAGTTTAGACTGTATTTCAGCTCGGCGGATTTGTGCAGTATACTTGGCAGGAGTGGTCTTCGAGCAATCTGCATCGACAGGCGGCTCACGAGAGTTGACTGGAGCAGAGTCCATTATCGGGGTCGGTAGCTTGGTCGGAGTGGCGATTTGAGGAGGCAATACCGGAGTCAAAGGCTGTGGGAGGGAGGACGGGGTTGTTACGGCAGAAGCAGCAGCAGCCGCAGCAGTCCTATCTCTCTCCCGCTTCTCGGCAAGCTTTTTCTTTAATGTCTCCCGCATGGCTACAAGCTGCTTCTCCTTATCCACCAGTTCCTTCTCGCGCGCAACGGTCGAAGGTGTCTGCGCACCAGGTGTGCCGACAGTCGAAGGAGCAGGAATGGCAGATGCTGCGCGGGAGGGAAGACTGCCCATAGGCCGATGAGGCGTTTGTACACTTTTAGGAGCTGGCTGATCGTCTTCAATATCCATGTCACTGCCATTGGACTCGTCCTCGCTAACCTCGATGATCATTGATTCGTCATCTTGCTGATCATATTGAGATTGGCCTATAGAGCGATTGTGGGGTGTAACAGGAGCTTGCGGAATCGATGCCTTGGTGGTGTCCGGGGCAGGTCGCGTTTGGGGTGCAGAAGCTGCGGGACGGGATGTGATAGCAACGGGAGCATCATGAACCGGAGGAGTGTTCATGAACAGACCAGGGATTCCAGAAAATGAGGGTGTGTGATTTTGACCCGTGGATGCGGCTGTGGGAGTCGCAGCTGCTTGCGTGGTCTGGGTTTGTCCTATAGGTGTGGAAGGGATAGCGGGTGGAGCAGCATTGTTGTTGACTGTACCTGTTGGCTTTTGTCGGGCCTTGATGGCCTCCAATCGCTGCTTGATCAGTTCCGTGTTGCGGGCCCTTTGCTCGTCGGTGACGGGAGGTTTGGCAGTTGGGGTAGCCGCAGGTTGGGGCGTCGTCGTCGTTGGTGCCGGAGTGATGGGCTTGGCTGGCAGTGTGTGCTGTGACGGACTGATCGGTTTGGCAGACCCGGCTTGTTTTGCTGCTGCCTTGGCGGCCTGGAGACGCTTTACGTAGTCTTTGCGGTCGACTGGAGTGGTGGGTGAGGCAACTGCCTTGGCGGACGGTGCAAGCACGACATTGGTCTTGACTGCTGGCAACTTGTTCTGTTGCGCGGGGGCTACGGGCTTAACAGCTGGCGCATTGGAAGCCGCGCTTTGGGGTTTGGGCGGTAGAATGGGCGCAGGCTCGGATGGTAGATTCAAGCTCTGGTACAGGCCCCTTAGCAGCTCGGGATCAAGCTGTTCCTCGGCTAGAGTGCGGTAGGGGACATTGTTACTGTGCAGAAGTTTGATGAATTGTTTCGCCGCCTCTCGATCCTGTCGCAACTGCTCTTGTGGTGTCGGAAGGCTCTCGCGTGGCGGTGCGTCTTGAACGGCGGCTTTGGGCAGCTTTGATGCAACGTCGGCTTCACTCAACTCTCCATCTTCCTTGTCGCTGTCCATGATGTCTTGGATGCGGTTATTGGTGATTGCTGGCGCTTGCGCGGCGGGATGGGGTAACGGGCGAGGCAACTGCGGCGGCATGGGCATGTGCTGTGGAGTGAGAGGAAGCGGCGGAGGGGCAAATGCAGTATTGTGCGGGATGTGAGACAGCGACGATGGAGGGAAGGACATGCCGGGAAAGGGCGGTGGGGGGAAGTTGGGCGGAGGGAAGGTGCCACCCTGGAAGAGGGACCAGAAATTTGCATCGGGAGGCAGTTGCGGTGGCCAGGCAGCTGCAGGTGATAATTGTCAGTGTGCTGGGCCAAGAGTGAAAGCTATACTGGGCAACTTACGTGCTGCAAAAGGCGGTTGCTGGTTGTTGTGAGCATGTGAGTTTAGGTTGATGCCAGGAAGCTGCTGCACATGGTGAGGCCCGCGCTTGTCCTCTGGCTGTTGGCCAGGCGGATGCATTTGCGGGGGCGCATAGGCATTGGAAAAGCCATAGTAGGGTTGCGAGTAATTGTTAGCCATGGTGCAGCATGCGAGCCTGGAGCTTTACGCGTCTCGTAGCACGGCCGGGCGGCAGGTCAGCGCATTGGCAGGCGCGAGGAACAAGAGCAGGCGAACGTTTGGGGGCGAGATGAGATTATGCGCGGGTGAGATGGTCGAGGTTGCGCGTGTGGGAGGCGTGGTGAGATTGACGTCTGCCGAGGGTGTCGTCGCAAAGAGACAGGTAGCTAGGGTATTGATGTGCACAGTATTCGTATCTTCCGCACATGCGAACTACACGTGACATTGATCGGCGCCACGCACGAGCTGTGGCGGGGGCTTTTTGCGGGACTGTGGCGCATCCGTGGTGGCTTGGTTGCTAGGGACAGGCGCTGTCATTGTTTACCACGGGCGGTACGCATGCAGCCGTCGTGCATGTGTGCTGCTAGTAACCACCATCTTTCCCCTAGGCTCAACCTTAGCCCAGGCAGGCCGTGCATTCTTGTACATAGATCCTGCAGTGTATTCTGATTCCAGCGTCCCGACCGGCACCCTCGTTCACCACGCGGCTTCTGTCTGTCGTCGTCCTTTGCGCCCTTCGCCCCATACAATGTCAGGCAGATAATCCGTCGCACTTGCCGCCCCATTTCTATCAACACAACCACCACCATGAGCGCGCCCGCGCCCGCGCCCAATGGCCGCCCTTTCGCACGCAGCTCGCGCAACAGCCCCTTTGCGAGAAACACATCTACCCCACCGCCGGGCACAGACACCGCTAGTCGCCCCAAATCCGCCCTCTTCTCATCGCCTTTCGCAGAAGCGGAGCCGGCCATGGGTCACCTGCGCAACCGCTCTCTTACCAACCTCAGCGGCTCTGTAGTGAGCCGCAGCGACTCGGCCCGCCTGCGCTCCAATTCGAACCGAAACAGCACACCTGCCGGCACCTTTGCGCCTCAATTCATCTCGGAAGACGACGAGCCCCCTCGCCTAGGCGGAATCGTTGAAGGCGAGAATGACTTCTCGGGCAAACGCTATGTCTGGCTTAGAGATCCAACAACGGCCTTTGTCCGGGGATGGATTGTACAGGATCTGCCGGAAGGAAGAATCTTGGTCCAATGTGACAATGGCACCCAGCAAGACGTCGATGCCGACGCCATTGATAAGGTCAATCCCGCCAAATTCGACAAGGCCGACGATATGGCGGAACTCACACATCTCAACGAGCCCTCGGTCATCCACAACCTTCACATGCGTTACCAGGCAGATCTTATATATGTATGATAGCTCCACCTGTATGCATCTGAGCTCTGCTGACATAGTCCAGACATATTCCGGCCTGTTCTTGGTCACAGTCAACCCATACTGCCCATTACCAATCTACTCGAGAGAGTACATCAACATGTACCGCGGGCGGAGCAGAGAAGAGACCAAGCCACATATTTTCGCCATGGCCGACCATGCTTTTCGGAACCTCATAGAGGAGGGCACTAACCAGAGCATTCTCGTGACGTGAGTCAATTGCCCTCTCAAAGCGTCCTCATTGGAAAGAGACCGACTAACAGTTTGTAGCGGCGAGTCTGGCGCTGGTAAGACTGAGAACACGAAAAAGGTCATCCAATACTTGGCCGCAGTCGCCAATACCGACACCCCACGCGGCAAGTCTGGGGGACGCAATCTCTCCAATCTGTCCGAGCAAATCCTACGAGCGAACCCGATTCTCGAAGCCTTCGGAAACGCGCAAACGGTGCGGAATAACAATTCGTCTCGTTTCGGAAAGTTTATCAGAATCGAATTTTCTCGCACTGGACAGATTGCCGGCGCATACATTGACTGGTATCTACTGGAAAAGTCGAGAGTAGTGCGGTTAAACTCCAATGAGCGCAATTATCACGTCTTCTACCAACTGCTGCGCGGTGCGGATAGCAAGATGAAGCAGGACTTCTTCTTAGATAACAAGGACACTGAGGATTTTGAGTATACCCGGAATGGAAACGACATTATTTCCGGCGTGTCCGACCCTGAGGAGTGGAATGCGCTGATCGAAGCCTTCCATATTATGGGCTTTACCGACAAAGAGCAAGCGGCCATCCTCAAGACCGTCGCTGCGGTTCTACATCTGGGAAACATCAGGGCCATCAAAGAGAGTCGACGGGCAGACCAAGCGACTCTGAACCTTGCAGCTGAACAGCAAGCCCAGGTTGTGGCGCAACTATTAGGTATCTGCCGACGACTTCATCAAAGCACTTTTGCATCCCCGTGTTAAGGCTGGCCGAGAGTGGGTAGAGAAGGTTCAGACACCCGAGCAAGTCAACCTCTCTATTGACGCACTTGCCAAGGGTATCTATGAGCGTGGCTTCGGCGACCTTGTCGATCGTATCAACTATCAGTTGGATCAAACTGGTGCTGGTGCAGATGATTCACACTTCATTGGTGTTCTCGATATCGCCGGTTTCGAAATCTTCGACGAGAACAGTTTTGAGCAACTTTGCATCAACTACACCAACGAGAAGCTGCAACAATTCTTCAATCACCACATGTTCGTTTTGGAGCAAGAAGAATACGCACGGGAGCAGATAGAATGGAAGTTCATTGATTTTGGCCGCGATCTCCAGCCCACTATCGACCTCATCGAGCTACCAAACCCTATCGGAATCTTCTCCTGCTTAGACGAAGACAGTGTCATGCCCAAAGCCACCGACAAGAGCTTTACGGAGAAGCTTCATTCGCTATGGGACCGCAAGAGTACGAAGTACAAGCGCTCACTTCTAACCCAGGGCTTTGTGCTCACGCATTACGCTGCAGAGGTAGAGTACTCAACAGAGAACTGGCTGGAAAAGAACAAGGATCCATTGAACGACAACGTCACGCGTCTTTTGGCTGGTTCTGCCGACAAGCAGATTGCTCATCTCTTCGTGGACTGTGCAGAGACAGACGACGAAGTTGGCGGAACTCGCAGCCGCGTCAAGAAAGGGCTGTTCCGAACGGTCGCTCAACGCCACAAAGAGCAACTCTCAACGTTGATGACTCAGCTTCACTCCACACATCCTCATTTCGTTCGTTGCATTCTCCCAAATCACAAGAAGCGGCCAAAGCAATTCAGTGCTCCTCTCGTCCTCGACCAACTGCGTTGTAATGGTGTACTGGAAGGTATCCGTATCGCACGCACAGGTTTTCCCAACCGCCTTCCTTTCGTGGAATTCCGCCAAAGATACGAGGTTCTTTGCAGGGACCTTCCCAAAGGCTATCTCGAGGGTCAAGTGGCAGCTAGCATGATCTTGGAGAAGCTTAACCTTGACAGATCCTTATACCGTGTAGGTATTACAAAGGTTTTCTTCAGAGCTGGTGTTCTCGCCGAACTAGAAGACCAGCGGGATGCTCTCATTCGCGATATTATGATTCGTTTCCAATCCGCGGCTCGTGGATTCGTGCAACGCCGTTTGGCCCACAAGCGCCTCTACCGAGCTGAAGCGACACGCATCATTCAGCGAAACTTCCAGGTCTACCTTGATCTTCAATCGAACCCATGGTGGAGACTATTTGCCCGTATGAAGCCTATGCTAGGAGCGACGCGCCAAGCAGCCGAAGTCAAGAAGCGCGACGAGATGATACAACAACTCGAGGAAAAGATGCAACAAGAGGCTGCAGAAAGACAGCGCGTTGAAGATGAGCGAAGACGCGCGGAGATGGACATTCAACGTATCCAAAAGACTCTTGAAAGCGAACGTGCCCTTGCATTAGACAAAGAAGAGATCTTCAAGCGTCTTCAGCTGCGCGAGGCGGAGCTCTCAGAGAAGCTCGCCGGAGCCATCGAGGACCAAGACCAGCTTGAGGATCAGCTGGATGCCCTGATGGAGGCGAAGAAGAAGACCGAGGAAGAGGCTGAGCATTTGCGCAGGGAGCTCGAACAAGCCGGGCAGATCATCAGCAAGCTCGAGGGCGAAACACAAGAGCTAGAAGAGCAGGCGCGGCGATTGGACGAACAACTCAAGGAACTCGAAGTGATCAAATCTCAGCGCAGTCAGGCGGAAGAAAAACTAGGCCAGGAGATAAAGATGCTCACGAGTCATCTAGCCCTAAAGGAACGAAAGCTCCAGGACCTCGAAGCGAAACTCCTCAAGACTGACCAAGATCTTGACATCAAGCTCGCAGCGTCCGTCAAGGAGGTGCAGGCCAGCAAGAAACAGATCAAAGAACTCCTCGACGAGAACAGGCAGATCCGTCAGCAGATGGCTGATCTCTCTTCAACGTCCACCAGCTACGAGGATCTCATCAGGCGTAAGGAAAGTGAGCTGGCAATTCTCAAGACTGATCTCAAAAACTACGAAAACGACCGTCGGCTGTTTGATGATGAAAAGCGAACGTTGGCCTCCAAGCACGACGATCTACAGAGCCGCCTGCGGGAGGCTAGAGCTGAACTAGATGCTGTACGCTCGCAAAAACAACAACTAGAACGAGAAGCTGCCGATGCGAAGCGACTCCTTGAAGAGAAGATAACTGAGGATGCACAGTATAGCGAGGGCAGGAAGCTACTCGAAGAGCAGATAGAGAGCCTCAAAGTCGAGCTGTTTGCAGTACAAAAGGATCTGAGTCGAGAAAGGCAGTCCCGCGACGACGTCGAAATGCTTGGTGAGCACAAATATGACACACTAAAGCGCGACTACGAAGCTTTGAACGAATCCAAGATCACTATCGAGAAGGAGATGTATGCTCAGCAGGACGTTTTACGACGAGCCACCGAAACTCGCACTGCCCATGAAAAGGAGCGAAAGGAATATCAGACTGAGCTACGCAGCCTACGTGAGAAGTATCTGAAGCTGGAGGAAGAGAAGCTCGATGCCGACGCTGCAGCAGAACGCGCGCAGTCCAAACTTGCCATGGAACGACAAACCATCCAGCAACGCGAGCTTGAAGAAAAAGACCAGCAACTTGACCAACTTGAGGCAGAGCGCAACGAACTGGCTGAGCAAGTCAACAATTTAACCCAGATGCTCGCGGACTCTGATTCGTTCAAGGAGCGTAACGACCAGCAGAAAGAGCGCCTCGAACGGGAGATAGTTACCATTAAGGGGCGACTGACTGCATCGGAGAACGACAACCGCGCACTCCTCAACAAGCTTCAACAGAAGAACCTGGACATCGCACGAACCAATTCGCGAGCTGGTGATACGCACCGTGTTAAGATCACACAATTGACACACGAGAAGGCCAAGGTCGAAGAGGAGAATAAACGTCTGTTCGTTCAACTTGAGGATGCGCAAATCGCAATTGCGTCTCTCGAGAAGCAGAAGGAGAAACTTTCACTGAGTCTCGAGGACCTGAATCACGAGATTGCGAGAGAGCATAAGGCCAGCCGCAACGCAGAGAATGCCTCCTCAACTTTGACTTTGCAACTCGCTGAGGTCAATCGCAAGTTGGAGACTGAGCGACAACTACGCACACAAGCTCAGGCCAACGCACGCGCGGTTCAAACGACGCTCGACACTACAAACAGCGAGTTGGAAGACTGCCACCGACAGCTCGTGCTTCTTCGTAAGGTCTTCGATCCAGAATCGGCCGACGTTGCCATCACCTACGAAGCTGCAAAGCCCGAAATCGCAAAAACAGTCAACCTTGCGGAGCGTCTGGAGGCTGCCAATCAAGCTTTGCGTGTAGCAGGCGAGCGATATACACGTGCTGAGGCTCAGCTCGAAGAGCTCCGAGAAAGACATGAAGGCGAACTCAACGACATGGACGCCCGTCATGCTAGCTCCAAGCGTGCGCTGTTGGAAGAGATGAACAGCAGTCAGGTCAATCAACCCAATGCTCATCGATCGCCGACACACGCCCGGAAGGACAGTGAAAACAGGCGGCCATTCTCCATCACAAACACTCCAACGAACCAACGCCATATCAACCATGTGGCGAACGACTCAGCACGTTCCGACCGGACTGTCGACACTGTCGCTTTCAACAATCAAATGGACATGGCTGCCGAACTCGAACTGGTACAGAACCAGCTGCAGATGTCGGAAATGCAGAACAAACACCTCCGAAGCCAGCTCGAAAGCTCCCCTGCCCGGAACGGATGGCAGGATGACAGTCCTTCTGTTCGACGCGTACAGAAACTTGAGCGTGAAAACTACCGTCTGCATGATATGCTCGATGACTCAGCGACGAAGGTTTCTGCTCTTGAACAAAGTCTTCGTTCCGGTCAGCTCTCTTACCAGGAAGTTCAGACAAAGTCCCATGAACAACTGTTTGATCTGTTGACGTCACAAGAGAAGTCGCGGAAATCTATTGTGCATGCTCATAATGCAGCCATCAACGAACTCGCAGACGCAAAGACAGCCTTCGATGACATCAAGCAATCGAAAGTGTCTCTGGAGGCCGAACTTCGCGAGATGCAGATTGAACTTGAAGAGGTCATCGCCGAACGCGAGCAGGAGCACGCCAATCACAATCAGCTACTCCAGGAGTTTGCTGATCTCCAAATTCGTCTGGATAACGAAACGTCCACTCTGGTCGATGTCCAATCAAGCTTGAGCTTGTACAAGAGCAGAGCCGATGAGTATTTCAGTAAGCTGGAACAGGCAGAGATCGCTGTTCTGAGAGCGTCACGGGCAGAGCAATTTGCCAAGTCGCAAGCGCGAGAAGCTGAAGAAACATGCGCGGCGATCATGGCCGAGCGAAAGGAGATGGACAGTATGGTGGAAGATCTTCAGCGAACTGTTCAGCGGTACGACGAACGCGTGGAAGACCTCTCGACAGATCTAGAGACAGCCCTGCAAGCTAAGAAACGACTCCAGAACGAGCTCGAGGACTACAGAAGTCAGCACGCTCACGATGTTGAAGATAGCGAGACTTCTCTAGAACAGACAAGGAAGAAGTACCAGTCTGAACTCGCATCGCTCACTCAGGAGATCGACCAAGAGCGAGAGAACGTCATCCTCGTGCGCGAAGAGAATGGTCGACTACGGGAAGAAATTGAGGAGCTGAGGAATAAGTGGGACGACGAACTCCTGAACTCTTCCACATGGGCAAAGGAGAAGAGCCGTCTTGAGATGACTCTGCAGACTATCTCTGACTCACGCGACGAGGCTGCAAATGCGCATAATGAGGCGCAATCCAAGATTGTCAGCCTGTTGTCGCAAGTCCGTACGCTGCGTACAAATGTCGACGACCTTGCGGCAGAGCGCGATTCCGCTATCGAGGAGAAGAAACGCCTCGAATCTCGTCTCCAAGAGGCCGCAGATGCTCTTGATGATCTATCTCGCTCGGAATCTCCGGCTATGCGTAACGCCGCTGCCTACGACCGTGACCTGTTGGAGCTGAAGTCGGGGCTGGCACAGCAAGAAGACATTACTGCTGCTGCAGTGGGTAAGATGCGGCGCGCAGAGGCCCTTGCACAAGAGCTGCAAAAGGATATTGTGGCCGAGAGAGAGGCGAACGTGAAGCTTCACAAAGACAAAGCTGCAGTTGAGAAGGCTCTCAAGGATCTCCAGCTCCGCCTTGTGGATCTTGAAACCAAGGGCTACAGCGGATCAGCTGGCAAGGACGTCCGGTTCCTCAACGGACGTATTCAAGAGGTATGTCGTCCCTGTATACATGGTGATCTTTCTCGAACATTGCTAACTTTCCCCGCCAGCTCGAAAAGGCCCTTGAAAACAGCGAATCTACCCGCCTTTCCGAGTCTCGCAGTGTCCGCAACGTGGATCGTACGGTCAGGGACCTGCAAACACAGATCGAGCGTCGCGACAAGCAGAACGCCGCTGTTGTAGAAGACCTCAACAAGTCTCGCGACAAGATTTCTAACCTTCTCGCTACCATCGATGATTTGCAGTCTTCTGACTCTACAAATCAACTCGCCGCTAAGCGCGCCGAACGTGAACTTCGCGAAGAACGCGAGAAGACCCTACGCCTTGAGCGTGAATTGGAGGCCTTGAAGAACTTGCGTACAGACCGTCGCAGCATTCTCGGCGTCCCTGGCGTAGCGGGCAGCGATGCTGGCGACAATCGCTCCAGGAGAGGTAGCTCCATTGGTCTGCTCATGGGCGAGATGGGGGAAGCAGCCGCCAACGACAAGGGCAAATTTGGCAGTCTCCGCTCCGGCCTCCGACGTGTCAGTGGTCAGAAGGGTTTTTTGTAGTAGATGGGGTCTCCGAGGGGAGGGGAGCATGGAGATCCCGGTATCCTTTATTGAAGCTGAGCCCGCCGATCGAAGAGGAAGAGGGCCCGGCAACGAGAGTTGTTGATCAAGGGAATGTGGTTGAGGCAGTGGAGTTAGATTTGGATGAGTATAATACCTTTGCGGATGCGGTTAATGAAGGCGCCATGAACGGGTGTCATGGTGCTGAAGAGATGGACATTGAGATCACGGATGATGAGGATCAGGGCAATGATGACGACAGTGCCGTGGGCGGCATCAAGCGAAGGAGAACCATTCGCGTCGTTATAAGGTCTAGGGCGTTTTTGTAGGCTTGGGCTGGGAACTACGGTTCCTTTTGTAGCTTCGTGGTTATTGTTGTTGTTGCTGTTGCTGTTAGTACCACCATTGGCAAGGCGTTTTTTGTCCGCATGGTTACTACTATATCCCCAGGACTTGGACATCGAGTGCCGAATAGGCGCGTCGATTTTGTTTTATATCCGATTCTTTCCGCAGTTGCTTTTTACTATACTGCTACATAGTTATCCAACACACGCTTATGTTGTTATCTGGGCACTCAGTTGGTGCTTGCGCTGTGTACGGTTTTCATGAATGCAACAAGTAATAATCCTCTTTCTTGAGTCTGATTACAAATGATATAGCTCAACTCGTCAATGACGGTTGTGCGTGGCTTGGCGCCGTCAATGGGAAGTTTGGGGGGCTCGAGCTTTCCGAAGTTGTACCGGTATCTGAGGCTCCGCCTCTTTACGCCTGCTCGCGAGGCAGACTACGCCCGACCGACCCCACATCACGATTTCAATTCTATTTTCATTATCATCATGGGCCATCCGCTTGCTTGGGGTTCAATTGCGGTCGTCTTCTTCATCTGTACTGACCAAGAGTACCTAACGAGAAATTACAAGACTGCATCTTCTAGACTACGATAATACCATTGTACGGAGAGCCCGTCGGACTCTCTCAGTGCAGTACACGTCAACATCCTGATAATCTCAGACACAACCACCAAAACGCACAGCATTATTTCGGGTAAACCTCACTGAGAAGTCTTGTGCAAGTAACAACAGCAGCGTACCTTAACTTCGGGCCGACCCTTTTGGTGTAAACGCCGATTTAGTCTGCGAATAGTTAGAGGGACGCCTGAAAGCCGGCGCAGTTAACAAAGCCGCCCATGCACTCAGATCGCATACCCAAACAGGTAGAAGGTGCGAAACATGGAGATGGAGAACGTTAGATCGCACTATACTGAACTGTTCTAGTTTGCATCTGCATGTGTGCTTAATGGTACTTTTCCCCACGTCCATGGCTAGTGTCTATGGCTGAGCGCCTGCGAAAATGCCCTACATAGTTAGTTGCGGCTCATCGGCCTAGGCGTATCTCTATTTTCGATTTTCGAGCATTGTCTTTGGATGCCAACTAGGGTTAACAGGTGCGGCCAGTTCCGCGCCGCACACGGACATGATGTATATCCATTCAGGACGATGCGGCCGTACTGCGGGATCAGGCCGATTACGCTGGGACATGAAGACTTACATCTCAGCCTCAGGCTAGGTGGAATTTGTGTGTAGTAACGGTCCTTTTCTTTCTGGGCACGACGTGGGAGTCTTGATGGGGAAATTTGGGGGGCTCATCGCGTGGTCCTTGGATATGAAGTTGGGCGCCTGAGTGGTGTTGGAGACATGAGAAAAGCGATGTTGGAGAGGGTCAATGGCTGTGAAGGCGTGTATAAAGAGCGAGTGTGTTTCCTTCCATGAGGACCATCATCAACATCCTCTTCCAAAGCCTTCAGTCTACTATTCAACACATCATCCTTCATATCTCAACTTCCACTATCTAAACACCAGATTACATCCAAACATCCATCAACATGCATTTCACCACCATCACACTAGCCACCCTCCTAGCCTCCGCCTCCGCCGGTGTCGTCCCAGCCGTCCCAGCCATAAGACATGACCCCATCACCAAACGCAGCGAAGCAACCTTCGACCCCAACGGCAACATCAAACTCACCTGTACGTTCACGCTACCCACTTCACCCCTTCACCCCTTTATTCCTCCATCCCAACTAACACCCTCACAGTTTCGAGAGAAACCGTCAAAATCGGCAGCCTAACCACCGAAGCCATCATATCCGCCATCTATCCCATCTGCCACGAATCCGGCCAATGCGAGACCAACGACATCGACCTGAAAGGCATGCTCATTACCCCCAGCCGCGTCGACGCCATAAAAGTGACTCTCGGCCCCCATGGCGCCTACCCAACCTGGATCCGCAACGGCCTGGTCGACGCCCTCGGCGCCGCCGCACGCACAGTGGCAAAGTGCGAGAAGGGAACCCATGTGGACAAGTGCTTCGGTACCACTGCTATGGCGTATTGCCCGCAGAGGAAGATTGAGTACCAGAACTGTGAGGTACCAAAGTTCTGGGGGATCAACTACCAGAGCTCCAAGAACCCGGATGGCGCGCCTCCTAACTTGAGCTTGGATGTGAGCATGGAGAAGGAGGGGGATGGCGGGTTGTGTGAGGATGTTATGTCGGGGCTGGGGGCTGTTGCCGGCGCGGTCCATGGAGTTGGTGGAGGCGTGTTCACCTTGTTGAGCTTTGCTTGTGAGTCTAAGTAGGGTTGTGGTAAGGGGTCGAAGCTTGGGATAGCTTCTTGTTACGTGTGTGCGCGGGTGAGGCCGTTGTTTCGTATTTTCTGTTAGACTTTTGTTCTTGTTGTTCTTCAAGCCTTTGTATGTATTCCAATCATATGTCATACTGCCTTTCCCAATTTGAGGTCACTGTTATATGATATGGAAACGATTGAGGTTCAGAAAACGTCAAGGCAGATTTAATTTCACTACAAGAGTCCGGCTCTACTCCTTGGCTCCGTGAACAAAGAGCCTCTTGCCCTGTACATCCTGGAACTCCTTCTCACCAGGCTGACCCGCGCGTCCACCGAAGACCAACTGGCCCCTGAGCTTCCACTCAAGAGGGATCTTCCAATGCTCGGCAGCCTTCTGGTCGATGATGGGGTTGTAGTGCTGGAGGTTGGCGCCGAAGCCCTCGGCCTCGAGGGCAACCCACAGAGCATACTGGTGCATGGCGTTGGTGTGCTCGGACCAGTCCCCAAAGTGATGTGCATAGAGAGCTGGGGGAAAAGTTAGTACAAATAAGGTCACTTGTAAAATTTGTGGATATTGTACTTACGGAAAGCCTTGCGGAGGTTCTCAACAGGCTCGGGATCTTCGTAGCACAGTACCTGTGGGACGGGTGGTTAGCAGCGGAAGAGGCGTGGGGCTTGCATGGCGGGGTAACTCGATCCTCGCACATGCATGATGTTTGGAAAAAACGTGTGACATACAGTTCCATAGGCAGCCTTGAATCCACCTATCTTCTGTTGGGTTCCTGAGAATTGATCTTCAGGGACCATTGGCTTGAGGACCTCGAGAACATAGTCCCAGAATTGGTCGTGGTCCTTGTTCAGGAGAACCACGAGCCTTGTGCTCTGGGAGTTGAAAGATGAAGGGACATGGAGGATGGCCTTCTCGGCGATCTCGGTAATCTGCTTGTCCGAGATGGGAGATTCCTTGTTCAGCTGATAGTAGGTGCGACGCTCCTTGACGGCGTCGATGAAGGACTTTTGGGTAGACATGATGGGCTGTGAAGTTGAGAATTGAGATTGAGAAGAGGATTGAAGATTTGAAGATTGAAGTGATGAGGATGTCGTCAAGTGGAGCGGCAGCCACGAGCTTTTGAATGCCCCACCAAGACCGGCGCGAAGCCTGGCAGCGCGCACGCTATTCCTCAGAACTTGCGCCATCGACTCAGATACCGGTAGAAGTAAGGTTGTGGGTACTATCTGCGGCAAAATCAGGGCAAGAAGCAGCCCCGAGACGAGACCAAGTAACAAAGTGCGTGTAGCCATGACAACGGCGCGGGCGGGATTGTGAATACACCTCAAATCCGAAAAAATCTTGACCAATACTGCAGCCGTGCCGTAAGCCAACTTGTATGCGTCGCGGTAGTTTGTGAGCAATCAATAAGCTACCTAGGTATGCTTTGTAATGCGCATGGATTCCGCGCCCCACCGCCAAGTGGAACGCTGCGGGCCGACGACAGACATGGGATTTGAGACGTTTTCCGTTGTAATGTAGTCTCATTCGTAAGCCTTGCTACCTAAGTACAGCCAGAGCCCTCACAGGCGTCAAGACATGAAACACGATCATCTGTCGCATAACGACAGTCATATACCGCAAACGCCATGCTAACTAAAATTTACTACGTGCAACAGCTACCAAAACGTCGCCACTGGATGAAAAGAACCACCTATGCTACATTGCTGATATCGTGAGATCATGAGATGTCCTTTACCGGAAATTGAAGGGAACGCCTTAGACAACGACTCCATGCTCGCGGTGCTCACCAGCTTTGAGATCGCCCTTCTTCTCAGTCGTATCGAAAGAAAACACGTCTGCGCCATCGCGACGCCTGGAATGAGGGACCCATTTGGCAGAGTTGCGCGGTGTAGTCTCTTCGAGCATATGGTCAACCTGTTCGAGAGAAAGGCCCTTGGTCTCGGGGACCAGGAAGTAGGCAAATACCACGCATAGAGTGCATGTAGCGCCCCAGACGAAGAAGACTCGCGCCTTCAGGTTACCGTACTCCTGGTCGACCATGTAAGGCGTAATGAAGCTGATCACGAAGTTCCAGAACCACTGTTTACATTAGCCTTTGTCTGAAACTTAACTCGATGGTATTACTTACATTGCTGGCCGTGGACAAGGCAACACCTTTGGCGCGGATTGGGAGCGGAAAGATTTCCCCAATGAGAACCCATGCGCCCGGACCCCAGGTGCTCGCAAAGAAGAAGATGTAGATGCAGGTAAAGACGATCAAGACGATGCCAGCGGCTTTGCTACCCTCGGCGACAGTACCAACGATAGCGATGATGAACTCGCAAATGAGCATACCGATAGCGCCGAAGATTAGGAGTGGGCGGCGGCCGAACTTCTCAATTGCCAGAAAGAAATGGGTGTGGAACCAACGTTCACAGCGGTTGTAATCATGGACACGAGGAAGGCGTTCTGAATGCCAACAGTCTTGAAGAAAGTGGAACCGTAATAGAAGACTGACCTGTTAGCATAGTCCCGATGAGCGAGGAAAGATCTGGAGGGAATATGCAGATAGGATAGTGAGGGAAACATGGGTACTTACTGAAGTTGACGCCGGTCCACTGCTGCATCATCTGAAGAGCCATTCCCAACACGACACGGCGGAGGTTGCTAGACGGCTTCCAACCACCAGTAAAGCAATCACCCCAGCCCGCTCGCATGGTGCGCATCTCATATTCATGGTTGGCGACCAGCTCCTTCAGCTCGTCATTGACATAGTCGGAGTTAGGGGACTGACCACGCAGAGTAGCGAGAGCGCGAGCGGCATCTGTATTGCGACCCTTCTTGATATACCAACGAGGGGATTCCGGGAGTAGAAAGAGACCGACACCGAGGACCAGAGCGAACAACCACTGAAGGCTCATAGGAATGCGATATGATCCCGAGTCCATGCGATGCTGTGTTCTATTGTCGACTACGGCAGCCAACAACAGGCCAATGGTGATACAGAATTGATAACCAGAGACAATGGCACCGCGGAAGCGCTTGGGGGCGATCTCGGACATGTAAAGGATGATGACAGCGGACACGAATCCAATACCAAAGCCTGCAATCAGACGGCCAGGAACAAGCACACCGACTGAAGTAGAA